TCCATATAACGCAGATAAAAGCAATGGAAACAGGACCGAAATCGACAAAGCAGTGAAATTAAAACGCCAAAACAGCTATCTTCTCCCTGTACATAAAATACAGTACATGAAATACGTATAATAATGATATATGATACACAAAGACAGTCCGCTTGGAGGGGGGACTAAGCTACACTTTCCACGTAGCGAGAAGAGCCGAGATAAGTGAACACAACATCAAAGAATACATTTCTTTGTAGAGGAAGGAAGCGTACGATATAATCCCCCTCTGATCCCCGTAGAAAGCGAACGTTTTAATCACCGGGCAGCGAGTGATTAAGGAGGCTGTTTGATCGGAATTAAGAGAGGTGAAGGATTTTTTTTTCGTTTTTTTCTTGTTTTTCTTTTTTCGTGTTTTTTTTTTCTTTCCTTCCCCCTTCCGTTTGTGAAAGTTTTTCGTTCCTGTTTTGTAGGAAGGGGGAAGGGTGTTTTTTTTTTTGTGAGAATGAATTACTTGAATGTGGGCCGTACTCTCTCTTCTCTCTCTCTCTCTCTCTCTCTCTCTCTCTCTCTCTCTCTCTCTCTCTCTCTCTCTCTCTCTCTCTCTCTCTCTCTCTCTCTCTCTCTCTCTCTCTCTCTCTGCATTTAGATGTGCACATGCGCATACTTACGCCGAAATTCATTGATTGAGACTCCTTCCACACCCCTATCCACACCCCACCCACACCCTCGCCTCCGCCAAAACGCCCATCTGTTCGCCAACCGACACCGAGGAACCGCCTGACTACAGGTGGTGCTGATGTCCCGTTGCGACGTCAGCCAAGCCTCCCTTTTGCGAGGGGTTTCGAGTACGTTTTGCCATTCGATGCAAGAGGAGAGAGAGAGAGAGAGAGAGAGAGAGAGAGAGAGAGAGAGAGAGAGAGAGAGAGAGAGAGAGAAGAGAGAGAGAGAGAAGAGAGAGATAGAGAGAGAGATGAGATGAGATCAAGAGTCAAAATGAAAATGAGAATGAGAATGAAAGTAAGAGTAAGGGTGAGACAGACAGGCAAACAGACAGGCAGACAGAGACAAAGTCATAGAAAGTCTGCTAGAGAAAGAGAGAAGTGGAAAGAAAAGAGAGCGAGGAAGGGGGGAGGGGGCAGGCCCAACAGCGGGACAAACACTGCAAAGTCGGTAAAGTTAACTTCCACAAGAAAAATCCGTTTGGCTTTAGAGGAATATGCAAATTACGATGTAGGATTAGCCAGCGACCTGACCTTCTGTCTGGCTTCAAGAATTCCCAGTCTCTTCATTCCTCCTCTTCCTCCTCTCTCTACCTTTCGCTCAGACCAAAGGGAATTGCGTTTTGCCGATGAAATAGCCTTTTTATATCTTGTTTATCTGTTTATTATTTTATTTTATTTATTTATTTATTTTTTGTTCTTCGATTTTGGATAACGCTCTTAGAGATGAGGAAGCCGTGCTGTTTTTTTCATTTTTTATTTTTTCGCAGCGCTAGCTTTGAATGATATCGAAAAATTGAAAGATTCACCTACGATATATAGACTCCCCCCCCCCCCCAAAAAAAAAAAGATAAATAAAAGAAAAAGTAAATAAAATAATAAATAGCACTGTGACATTTCCATTATTGAAGAAAGCACAGAAGACGGGAGTCACATCTGGAGTCAAAGCATTTTAATTCCCCCTTAAGGACGACAACAATAGTGGGTGGGGGAGGTCCTCATCCCTGCCTGTGGGTGGCAAGGGAGGGTCGCACAGGGTGTAGGGAGACGAGAGGGAGGAGGAGAATAGGAGGGGGGGGGAGGCGAGACCGGGAGAGGGGGGGGGAGCGAGAGATCGGTTCAAGGAGGCGACAACCGGACACTCAGGTACCACACTGACCTTTCCGACTCGTGTTATCTTGTAGGGTCGGCGAGCGGAGAGAGACAACATTATATCGCCTCGAAAATCCCCCTTGGATGAAAATGTCAGTTGGAAAAGGGAGAGGAGTGGGAGGGAGGGGGGGGGATTTTTTTCTTTCTCTTGTAGTTCGGGTCATTAAGCGATCTGTCGTCGATAGAGGAACATTTAGTCGGGTCTGGTCGGGTCTGGTCGGGTCCGTCGTTTCTCTCTCTTTCCTTCGTGTCGTTAAGATTCCAGCGATGGCGTCTTTTTCTGGAGTGGGTCCTTGCTGTGGGTACTGAGCACTTGGGGCACGGGGGGGGGGGCAGGGGTACTTCCTTTGTTTTCTTGAAACCTCTTTTTATTTTTTTTTCTCTTTTTCCTCTCTATCTGTCTTTCGGTTTGTTTCTTTTCGTGTTCTCTTCTCTCTCTCTCTCTCTCTCTCTCTCTCTCTCTCTCTCTCTCTCTCTCTCTCTCTCTCTCTCTCTCTCTCTCTCTCTCTCTCTCTCTCTCTCTTCCCTTTCCTCCATATCCATCTTTATCTCACCCGCCCTTCTCCTTATCATTAATTTCCCCCTGTATATACCTGTTTAATCAGCGAGGCAACGCACACCTTCCCTTCGCGAGTATTTCCAAAAGCGGGAAAAAAATCCGTCCGCCATTTGTAGGGAATCTGATTTCGCATATTGCCGAGCGCGAAGGGGAATGCGGCCTGGATCTAATGCGGCGAAAGTGCTCGAGCGGGGAAAGAAGCGCGTGTTTTGAAAAGTGCGATCTGAAGGGGGGGGGGTTCGCCGGGATGGAAATGTATGGGAGATGCACACCCTTGCGAGTGCGGGCGTGTACGTACATGCGTGAGGTAAGGATATGTATGTATGTATAGGTGTGTAGTATGTATGCACGTGTGTGTGTGTGTGTGTGTGTGTGTGTGTGTGTGTGTGTGTGTGTGTGTGTGTGTGTGTGTGTGTGTGTGTGTGTGTGTGATTTGTCTTGTGTGTGCGTGTGGACGTATATAGACAAGAAAATGAGAACGCATATAGACAGACAGAGAGAGATACCTCAACCCCGTCTATAGACATCCCCCCCCCCCCACTCCGACGCCCCCGCCAAGGCAACCCGAGAAGAAAAATCTCGAACAGGAGCCATGTGTACCTAAGAAATGTATTAAGTGTGTAACGAGGAATCTTTATCCCACACGGCGGGGCTGGAGAGCTTCTTAACAGCCCGGAAAAAACAGCGTCTTGAGTCGATTTCGGTGGCTGTCTTCACTCAGACGGCAAAGTGGGTGCGAGAGGAGTAAGTGGGTGGGAGAGGAGAGGAAGAGGGGAGGAGGAGAGGGAGGAGTAAGTGGGTGGGAGAGGAAGAGGGAGGAGGAGGAGAGGAGAGGGAGAGTAAGTGGGTGGGAGAGGGAGAGGAGGAGAGGAGAAGGGAAGCAGAAGGGAACCAGAAGCAGAAAGAGCAAGAGAAGGGGAAAAAGAAAGAGAGAGAGGGCTAGCTAGATAGCGAGAGAAGCGAGATAGATAGATAGATAAAGAGAGAGAAATGGAAAAAAAGAAAGATATTGAAATGATCATCCTTCAAGGGAAATTCTGACAGTACCCTACCACCATCCTATATCCAACGAGCCAACCCCATTATCAGTACAAAGTCCACCCTCTCTGGAGTAATACACCGACTTCCTTGCCATTTCTACAGCAACAGAGGTATTCAAGCGATTTGACCGACGGACCTCACGCCCACATGCACAAGCAGACGAGCCTATACAGAATACCCCCCCCCCTCCCAGAGCCCCTTCCCCTCATCCTTCCTCACCTTCCCCAACCCCTGCTTCACCCCTTATCCCTCCCTTCTACTCCTTCCCCTCCACTCCCCTGATACCCCTCCAAACAGTCCCCTCCCTTCAACAACCCTCCTCCCCTTCTGTCCCCTCCCCTCCACCTGACCCCCCAGGATGAGAGATCTCCTACCTGACCTCCTCACAATAGGATAGGTGTGGGGAGGGTCCTTCTCTACCTACCCCCTCCCCCTCCCCTCCCGTCACTCCTTCCAGCCCCTATAGGCCTACTTCGCGCGCTGTCCCAATGATATAACTCATAATCGCTCTAGTTCGCCCCACAATAGGATTTTCTTTTCGTTCTCCGAGGTTCAGCTGCGGAGATTTTCGTGGGTTTGTGAACGTAAGCTTATGGATTTCGATTTATTTTTCGTTCTTTTCATTTTGTTCTCTTACTTTTTTATTTAATCTTCCACGCCTTTTTGATTTCTTAAGCGAGGGCGTGGCGTGTCGGCCAAGATCTCTTTCTCCTCAGAACCGGATTACCTCCTGTGTAAATGATTGCTTGACTAATGGGATAAAATGGGGGGTGGGGAGAAAGGAGGAACAGGGTGGGGGCGGGAAGGGAGGAGGAAGAGGGGAGGACGGGGGAAGGGGCCAGGGGGGAAAAAAATATCAGGAGCAGGTGTTTAAGTCGTCGAATTTTTGGTTTTGTTATTTTTTTCTCTTCTTTGATTTTATTTCTTATAATTTGTTTTTCTTCTCTGCTCAATATTTTTCTATTGGTTATGGCTTTCTCTGTCGTAGTTAAGATCATGTTGCATATTTCATGTTCTCGTCTTGTACAATCTTCCTATTTTTTATTCATTTGGTGCACATATTCTTTCGTTGCTAATGTAGTATTATATGGTACTTTGAGTAATCCTCTAATATCTCCCGGATCGTAAAATAAAGTCTGTAAAGCTCAGTTAATCATAATAATTGCAGCTTATTAAGATTAACTGATGTTGAATTTACTCTCATATGGATTATACTCTATTAGCAATTACTCAAAGTTATCACTGTAGTTGCTTATTGACTTACTCTATGTGTAATATAGTTGTTGTGTAACATTTCATCATTATAACCCTTGTCCTTTGGTCATACGTAACTGCACTGGTATATATTTTATGTACAGTTTTCTTTTTGATATGTTGAATGACTTCTTTGTTTCATCTTGCACTGATTCCATTTCCTTTCCTGTTTAGTCAAAAGGGAAAACGTAGTAGCGTAGTTTGGTCTGTCCGGATCACCCTAACCACCGAGTCAGCCTGTAAATAGTCGTAGGGTTAGAGCACTGCACACGTTGCCAACTGGTGTATTTCAGGGCCTTCAACCACAACTACTTCTACTACTACTACCACCACCACCACTACTACCACAACAACTACTACTAGCACTACCACATCGACCACCTCCGTCCCAGATTATGCTGAGGATGAGGATGAGGATGAAGATGATGAGGAAGAACAGGTTGAACAGGATGATGGTTATGATAATAGCTTTGAAAATGAGGCCAGCCGGTCCAAGGGCGCGAGGCCCCACGTTGCCGAAAGTGGTAAGGAGGCAACCTCGTAGAGAACTTGCATAGAAACCGAAACCCTCAGGAACAAGAGAGGGGATACTATTGAAAAAAGTGTGGTGGTGTGCTCTTACTTACTAACCCAGTTTCCGACAGTGTCTTGCTATCTCTGTGCATGTTGTATATATATATGGACAAATGCTCTGCTGGATGGATAGCTTGAGGAACTAAGGTCCTGCGCTTTTACGTGTCTTTACTAACGGTGGTGTTTTGTCCTTGCCATTCTAACATGGTCTTGTTAGCCTCGCATGTCACGAGGGGGGAAAAAAGGTCAAGGTGTTTGTGCTTACGTTGGCCTTTTTTGCGTGAAATTTGGGATGTGTATTATATTGAGATGTGTATTTTTTGTGCCCTTTTCTTTGGGGGACTTTTCTCCCTCTTGGTGCGTACTTTTGAGCAATTGCAAGGACGAGGTAAGATGCCATGCTTATGGAATTTACCTTTAGAGAGTTTGTTTGCATTTGATTTCTTTGAGATTTTTTTTCTCTAATATTTTTTTTCTGTAACTGGATAACCTGAATTTGTCTCAAATATTGAATGCCTGGAAACCCGGAGGCGGAAAGAGGAACTGTAGGGTGGCCAGAACGCAAGGCTTCATCTTCGTTTCCAGTAGATTGGACAGAATTCTTTCCAAGGATATTGCGTGGGCTGAATGCACACACACACACACACACACACACACACACACACACACACACACACACACACACACACACACACACACACACACACACACACATGTTATAGATATAGATATATTTAAGGTCTGTAATATCCTTCGTTAAAGAAATTTCAGTCAGAAAAGATGAACAATAAAAGCTACACAAAGAATGCCAGTCAGGTATATCCGAACATGATTATATATACATACATACATACATATATACATATATATATTATATATATATATATATATATATATATATATATATATATATATATATCTGTGTGTGTATGTGTGTGTGTGTTTGTACACAAAATGTATGTGGAAGTGTTTATAGTATGTAGTGATTTTTTTAATCATGTATATAGGATGTATATATACCTTTTGGATGTGGCAATTCTTTTTCATCTATTCCCATAGTTGCCGACGTGCGTTTTTTTTTTTAACAGCACAACACAGCACATCCTCCAGTCAACAGAAATATACATGGGATATTCTACCTTACAATACAGGTGTCTCTTACAAATTACAAACCTTTAGAAATAAGATATACCTCTAATTGCTTTTGGAATAACATCTCGCCATAAGACTTCCATTTCTGTGTTAATCTAATGCTGCTAACACTGGGTTTTGCAATTAATCGCATGTTGTCTTTTGTTTCACAGGTGTTCCAGCTGTCAAACCTTCAGGTGAGAGACGTCAGCAAAAATAAATCCAATCTAAAAGCATTTGATCCTCCTCTGTCGTATTGGATTCTCTTTGCGTGTGGTTGCTGGATGTTGTAGAAAAAAAATAATAGAATTGAGTGTAGATAATTGTGCTCGTGGTAAAATCTGCTTAGTCGAATCTGTCAACTAAATCGAACAAATTGACAGATATAGATTTCATCAAAGAAGAGTTTAATACGAATTTCTAGTTTGGGGGAAAAAAGGGTTATCGTGATTTTAACCCCGTGATGGCTGCGAGCACATTTATTTAACTTCAAATTCGAAATTCTGGTTTGCGCACCTCGTTAGAGCCAGAGAATATCACTGCTTTTCCCCCATCTCGTATTTTCCCCGTTTTATTAGTTGTCGCTGTGTATATTCTCTTTCCGTGTGTACAAAGTCGGATTTACACGTGTCGACACTTCATTTTTCCTTTCCGTCTTTCTCTCCGTGCGCTATTCTATCTTCCTTTCCCTTTTGTAATGCATCGTTCTCTTTCCTCTGTCAGTGCACTCTGTATTTTTGTTGTTGTTATTAAATTGTCTTGCTTACCCTTTTTTTTTTATCTCATTTATCATTCTAGAGAATTTCTTCATTTCGAAATTAAATGTAGTCGTGCTTTCAGAAAGTGTCGCGTAGGAGTCTAAACTTTTTTCAGGTTAAGTTTCTCAGTAGTATTATTGCATGTTTCCATATATATGTGTGTATATATATGTATATATATATATATATATATAAGTATATTATATATATAATATATATATATATATATATATATATATATATATATATATAGTACGTTGCACCGCATGCTTATTGCACAATTTTGTTCTTGTATACTGAAAGTCATAAGAAAATGTTAAAGGACACATGACTAAATTGCAGTAAAAGGCGACTGTTGTTCAGTAATGTTCCCTTATTAGACGGAATTAAATTTTCCATTTCTATTTACTTGTCATCAAAGGAAATAACGTTAATTCACAGTTTAACGCAGAATGAATAAGCATTTCTAATGGAAAAGCCATTGAATTTTGAGTGAGTGTGGTAATGCAGTCTCCCTTTTGTGAAAGTCCGGTAAGCTCTCTGTCAAAATAGTAATAGGAGAGGACATTTTACAAGGTATGTAATATATATATATATATATATATATATATATATATATATATATATATATATATATATATATATATATAATATATATATAATATATATATATATATATATATATATATATATATATATATATTATATATATATATATATATTATATATATATATTATATATATATATATATATATATATATATATATATATATATAATATATATATATATATATATATATATATATATATATATATATATATATATATATTATATATATATACATATACGTATGATAATGTAAATATTTTGTACATGTCTATCTTTATGAGAGCTGCGTCATTTCCACATTTATTCAGAAAAAAAATATCATGAAAATTTAATTTCAATGGCTTCCGTCTGACTTCAATTATGAAGGAACTCATTGTGTTTTTCATTCATAAAGGGGAAAAAAGTGATTTTGAACGGCCGCGCGCCGGACGCGACGCTCCAACGCGGAACGTGCAATTTCTACACCATTTTTGCAAAGCTTTTCAACTAAGAGTGACGTATTTGGTTCCCACAGTGTCAGGAGCTGAGGCAGTGAAGTGCAGCTTAACGGTGATTGCCCTTCTACACACCGTGCTCCTCTTGCGCCCCTTCCTACAATGAGCTAGGTGAGTCTCGTGCGTGCGTGAGTGTGTGTGTGTGTTGTTTGTGCGTGCGTTTGCTTGCTCGTACATGCGTGTGGGTTGGTGGATTTTTATAATGATTTTAAGTAATTTTTTATACGTATATACATTTATTTTGCGTGTGTGAGTTTGTGCTTGCGTGTGTATATGTATGTGCGTGTGTCTGCCTTTCGCGTGAGTGAGTGCACGTGGCAGATTACAACCGATGCCGACTTTTAATTCTCATTTTCTGTGTCTCCGCAGATGAGGGGTAACTCGTCTGTGTATAGTGCCCCGTCCCTTCCTGCATCTCTCTGCCCCTAGTTTTCGCTTGGTTGGTCCTCCTGTCAAGAGAAGATATTTCATCTGCTACAAGATTATAAATCATAGGACTATCCGTGTTTACAACTGAAATATATCATACACAAATATATTTATATTGCCCTGAGTGCATGATGCTCGTCTGTGTAAAGGCTGTTACTTTACGGTTTTGATGTTTTAGGCAAAAAGGATTTTCCAGTGTCATGGGCGAGGTCCGCTAGATCTCCTATTGCGTTGCACTGGCTTTGCTATTCCAGAGAGAGAGAGAGAGAGGGAAAGGAAGATTAAAAAATAGTCTTTTTTCTCTCTTTTTTTTCTTTGGATTAAGCCAATCTAGCTCTGGATTTCAATCACAGTTCACGTGCTGTTGTATTTCTCTCTGAGCATGTACTCTGTGTGACCCTGAATTATTTTGTAAACTAAAATGGAAGAAAAAAAAACTATACAGAAAGAAAGAAAGAAAAAAAACAGACATTTCTATTCTTTATGAAAACTTTGTAAATGTTGCGATGTATTGTAAGCTATGAGTTTCTGAGTTTTTATTTTTGACATGAAGAAAGGATTAACAGAGAAAAAAAGTTGAAACATTGAGTGGTTTCGATGAGCGTACAGTTGCACTTACTTTGCACTCAGCGGTGTTTTGAAACGTGAAGGAAAATGCACGAGGGAGTGTTGCCAATGTGTGAAGCGAAGGGATCTTAACCAAAAGTTCTGTTGGAATTCGTGTTGGAATTAACCCCATGTGATTATAGTCATTTTTCTTTATATTTGTCATATATTTTGTTTGTTTTTGGTTCAACCGCTAGTCACCTGACAACAAACTTTTTTTGACAGAAAATATCGGCGATTTTGAACAGGGTCAGAACCCCCCCCCCCTCCTCCTCCCCTCGAATATATATTTTTTTCATGTACTTGGTTTGGCTTGTAAACACTCCCACTACAAGCGACACACAGCCTAGGTCAAAGGTCACATGAACATTGCAGCTGTTCGGTATACTTGTGCACCCTGTGTTCCCACTGTTCAGCATGTTCTTCAGCGCAAACCAAAAAAGCACACATATGTAATGCAGCCAGTATTTGTTAATTACTGTACTTCCTTTTTCCTTTAAGAGCATATATTTTTATTTTCAGCTTACATTTAACTAGCTGGTTATTAATTGTTTTCTCAGTGTTCTCCTTATGAACCAAATCCAGCTGGTGATTTTTTTTTTTTTTTTTTATTAAGTCTCCGTTTTCTTTGCGAAGGTTCCTCATCTTCTGTTGCGGGATTGGCAACTTTAACCGCTTCCTTATCGGTGATTGGTGATTGGCGATTGGTGCAGATCATGGGTCTAAATCAATCAAGTATCTCAGGGTAAGGTCAGAATAAGAATCTCGTATAAGGCCATTGTTAAGAGTAGATACACTATTTCCCTCAACCTCTGTAAGAAACGAAGCCAGAATTCCCCCTTCATACACTTCAAACAAAGTTACACGCGAATTTCGTACTTAAAAAGGCATAAAGAAACCCCCACGCCCTTGAACTAGCAAGCCGAAATCGTCAAGGTCTTCGAAAAAACCCGAAGTTTCCCCTCAATCGGATCCCATTTTCTGTGCAATCAATCACCGGACTCAATCGCCGGAAACAAAGAAGATGGAAGCACTGCCCAGCCAATCACACGCGGCGAAGGCTGAGGGCGCGCGGAAGTCTCGGCGACAGTTCCGATCCGTGAAATTTCGTCTTCTCTCTTTTTTTTTTATCTTCTCGTTCTTTGAATTGTCTCTCTCTCTCTTTCTCTTTTATCTGTTGCCTTTTGGACTGAATCTTCACACAGTTACGAAGGATCTGATATTTCTTTCTTCACTGTGCAGTTCATTTTTGCCGAACCAATTTACCTGTCCTCTTTGTCACTCGATCTAACAAAAATCAGAACGGAGACGAAGTGCACGGATTCGAACGCGCCGTGGCACCGGAATAAGGGAGTTCCACCAACCAAATTAGACGTCAAAGCGAGGTCAAGCGAGGTCGCGCGTGTAGGGGGGTGGGGTCAGGGGTAGGGGAAGGTCCTCCAGTTAAGAGTCGAGGTCTTATGAAGGAAAGGAAAGGGTCTTAGAAGGCGCAAGAATATTCTCTTTTTTCATCTTGTGTTTTATTGGATGCTTGTTAGCAGTTGTGTGATATATTTTCATGAATTTTTTGGTTTTTTTATTATTTGATACACAACGGGTGGAATTCCCTTTTTAGTTTATTATGTATATACGTTTTTTTTAATTGTCTGTTCCTATATCGCTCTGTACTGTATGCATATCTGCTTTCTCTCTCTCTCTCTCTCTCTCTCTCTCTCTCTCTCTCTCTCTCTCTCTCTCTCTCTCTCTCTCTCTCTCTCTCTCTCTCTCTCTCTCTCTCTCTCTCTCTCTCATGCCGTGTCATTGTTTTGAGTTCCTATGCAGTGGATTTATGAGTGAAGCAACATCAAAATATGAAATATCGACAAAGTTACAAAGTGAAAAAATGGACAGCAACAAATCACTGTCTAAGTCTCCTAAACTCATAAATATTCTGCTTTGTCTATTTTTTTTTCTTTTTTTTTTGGCGTTTCTAGTCCTCTCTTTTTTTCTTTTCTTTTTTCTACCAAGACGAAAGACAATCATAGGAAGTCTTTTGAGTATTTCCCCGTTTTCTGTTGCTCTCTCTGTAGTATATTTGCTCTCTTTCCTGTTTATCTATGTCTGTGTCTTGTTCTGTCTCTCTCTCTCGCTCTCTCTCTCTCTCTCTCTCTCTCTCTCTCTCTCTCTCTCTCTCTCTCTCTCTCTCTCTCTCTCTCTCTCTCTCTCTCTCTCTCTCTCTCTCTCTCTATCTATCTATCTATCTATCTATCTTATTATATATTCATAGAGTTGATACGTTAGACCAACAAAATTTCGGTTTTCAGAACTCCAGCATTTTTTTCTTTAACATCTCGTACGTCCTGGTGAAAAAAAAAAATCTTCAAAAAATCAGAGATAAAAGAAAATATTTCAGTCATATGTTCCCCCCCGCAGCTGTTTAGACTAAACGACAATGACATAAAAAAAATAATGATAACAAGAAGGTCTGACGTAACCTGTATGGATTGAATCTTCACGAACTCCTAGTATAAGATACGATGGTGCTACTAATTTTAGCTCACGTCCTGCTATTAATCTGGTATCCCCTTTATCTCACCGTTTTAGGTATACTATGAAACAAAAACCACAAAAAAACAACAAAAAACAAAAAATAATATATATATATATTAATGATAACTTCTTCCTATACTGCCTGCATAGGTTTTTCTTGTTAGGAAATTTGTATCACGCCATGAGTGTTATCTGTAGGGAAAGATAAAAAAAGAAAAAAAAAATAGAGAAATAAATGAAAAAAGACCCTTCCCCAAAACAGAAAAAAATATACCACTTTTTTGGAAAATATAGATATACCGCATTACAATTGGTCTTTTTTTGTGTAACTATTCAGATTTGTAAATATTAACACTTGTGTGTAAAGTTTTGTACGTACATTGTAAATAAGCAGAAAGAGAAACAAGCAAAAATAGATAAAGGTGAAGATAACGTAGCGAGCCACGTCCGACATGTTGAGTGATCGGCTCCTGAAGACCTCCCAGCATGATGTAACTTGGTATGAAATAAGATTATTTTTATTGTCAGATACTCCTTTTTCGTGTGAATTGCAAGTAAATGTGGCAACAGAGAGTAGCGTCTGTAGTGTTTTTTTTTTTTTCATTTGTGTAGTTTTGGAATATCATTTTTTATTTATTTTGTAAAGTCTAATGGCCAGAAAAAAAGTTGTGCCTAAGATTTAGATTTTTTTTTCTTTGTAGATACCGTAGATTCCTTGATTTGTGAATAATGAATGTCACGAATAAAATTTGACATCTCAAACACAGTATATTTTAGTTCGCTTGAGAGTCAAATTTTCTCAATCACATTTACTTGCGATAGGAGACTCCATTTCCATTTGTATGCTGTCAGAGTTCCACATTTTTTCCCAACCTGTTATCAATGAAATCCCTTCAAAATTCGTAATTTAATTGATTACGTGATTGACTCTGACACTCTGCCGAACCTGTGAGTTGTTACAATTGGCAACGAATAAGTAAAATGTAAGAAAATAATTTAAAAAAAGGAATATATATATGAAGACAAAATACTTGTACTAGTCACCGTGTCAGTACCCTCTGTGTAGTGAAATGAGCTGTGAAATCCCTTAGACTTTTCCTGCAATAAAGGTTATTTAGGCTAAGGAAAGACTATTGAAAAGAACCCTTATTGCATGAATCCACTAGGGAGGAAAGGTTCATGCTGTTACATTGAAAATCGCCTATTATTCTAGTGTACATGGTGTGTATCATACTGTTTGAAATTAAAATGTTTATAGTAAAGTGTGTTTATCTTAACCCTCGCGTTCTCAAGCGCATCTTTTTTCGTATTTGTCTGTTATATATGAACATCCTATGTACTTGAGGATAATTATAAACAGAAGTAATGTAATCAAATACAAAAGTTGTATTACGCTTTTTTATTTAAAGAGTATTGATTAAAAAATTAAGACATAAGATATGAATGCCGTATTTGATAAGGATATCCATGTCGACAAAGATATTTAAGCAATTTGAATTCATGAATCGGCAGAGGCCATGATATCAATGGCGTTTCTTTTATAAATGATGATAATAATGATAACGTGAATAACTATAAAGACGATAAAGATAAAGATCACAGAAAGGATAACTCGTAAAACAAAATTGAAGATTGAGAGAATAATTATTGCTCTGATGATAATGATGTAATTATAATCGTTAGCGAATAACAACAATAAAAATATGATAAATATTACGAATAACATACGAGCATAATTGCAGCAAAAGTATTAATGATTTACCTCGGTAATAGGATAATGATAAATGAAAAGAAATGGCATTATTGGCAGGGATATTGATGATTACATATAATATAATGAAAATTTGATAATGAAAATAATAAAGAGGATTATAATGAGGAAAATTGATGGCATTCATGATATTGTTACCACATCTAACAAAACTCACGAGCACATAATTATAACAAAAAATGCCACAGAATTTACTATAATATCAGCGACTAAAATTGATATATGTAGTAACGATATTGATAATAGCAACGAGGATGCTAATGCTAACTACAATATCAACAAGAATAATAACATAACATGATATCAATGATATCAATAATGCTAAAACTACTGCTGCAAATGATAATGATAATGATGAATATAAATATAGCAATAATGGTAACAATGATAATGTTAATAAAAACAACAACAACAACAACAACAACAACAATAATGATAATGATAATGATAATAATGTTAGTGATAATAATGATAATTATGAGGATAATGAAAAAAAATAGAAATAAAAACAAAAATGAAAAAGAAATTAAGAATAAAAATAAATTAAAATGAAAATGAAAAATATTAAAAATAGATTAAAATGAAAATGAAAATTTAAAAATGAAAGTAAGAACAGACTGAAGAAAGAAAAAAAAAAAAAGAATAAAATGAAAATAGAAATCTAAGTAGAAATAAGAATAAAAATGAAAATTCAAATAAACACAGAATAAAAATCAAACTTAACTAGATAAAAACAAATAGACATAAAGATAAACAAATAAACACAGAATAAATATAAAGATAAAAATTAACTAAATAAAAACAAATAGAAATAAAGATTAAAAGATAAATAAAAAAATAAGCCGAAAATGAAAAAATAAAATAAAATATAAAAAAAAAGAAAATAAAGATAAAAACAATAAGAATACTAAATATACAAACAAAAATGAAAATAAAAATAAAATATTAGTAATTGAATATAGAAAACCAAATAAAAGCAAAAATGAAAATAAAAATCACAATGAATGAAAATGAAAATCAAATTAAAAGGGAAAATTCAAATTGATAATGATAATGATAATCATGACAACAATAATAATAAAAACAATAATGATATTAATTATGATAACAATGATCATAACTATTGCAGTAATGATCATAATAATAATGATGTCAATATTGATAATACTAATGATAATAATGATAGTAATAACAAAACACTGATAATGATAACAGTAATAATAATGGTGATGATAATAATTATAATTATAATAATAATAGTAATGATAAAGGTGAAAATAATAGTAATAGTCATAATAAGAAAAATTATGATAATAATTATAATAAAAACAATGATGATAAGAATAATGATTATAACAACAATTATAATCTTGTTTATAAATTGATAATAATGGTACTAACAACAATAGAAACAATAATGGTAATAAATAATAATAATCATAAGAACATTGATGATAATGATGATTATGAAATAAAACAATAATGATAGTGATAATATTAATAATGATGTTAATAATAGTAATGTTAATAATAATAATAATAATAATAATAATGATAATAATAATAATAATAATGATAATAATAATAATGAAAATAATAATAATAAGTATAAGAATAGAAATAATAATAATAATAATAATAATAATAAGATAATAATATAAATAATAATAATGATAATATAATAGTAATGATAAAATGCTAAATGATAATGATAATGATAATAATGAAGATAATGTTAATACTAATACTTATGTTTGTACTACATATAATGGTGGTAATAATAATCATAAGATAATCATAATGATAACTATGATAACAATGATGATATTGGCAATGGTGATGATTCTTATGAGAATTATAATGATAATGATAATGATAACAATAATAATGAAAATGAAAATAATGATAATGATGATGATAAGGATAATAATAATGATGGTGATGATGATGGGGTGATGATGATGATAACAGTAATAATGATGAGGATGATTATTATAATAATGTAGACTAAGAATATCAATAATTATAATAGTGGTAATGATAACAATGATGATGATCAATAATGATAACAATAATGATGATCAATAATAATAACATTAACAAAAACAACAATGGCAATGATAATAATATTGCTGGTGATAATAATGATGATGATAATAGTAACAGTAATAATGATCATAATAATGATGATGATAAAAATAATAGTAATAATGATGATAATAATAGCAATAGTAATGATGATAGTAATCATAATGATAGTGATAATGATGATAATAATATAATAATAATAACAATAATAATAATAAAAGTCAATAAATAATGATTAATAATAATAATAATAATAATAATAATAATAATAATAATAATAATAATAATAATAATAAGATAATCATGAAGAATAAGAATAGTGATATTAATTATCATTCTTATTATGAAAATGTTCATAATGATGATAATGACAATAAAAATGCCATTCATAACTACAATGGTAATGATAATGATGTCAAGAAATAAACCATAACCACACAACCACGAAATAAAACCTTAATGAAGAAAAAGGTCAAACTAATTTTAAAATTGAAAATACTGCTGACAAAATCATCGAATCCAAATCTACAAAATAATTAAGATAACGAAGGCAATGCAAACCAAATAATGATGATAATGATAATGATAATATTGATAATCCTAATAAATAATAAAATACTCACAGTACACATTAACGCAACAAGCATTATTATAATCAGTAAAATTATAAAGTGGATAAAAATAACACAAACAGCAACCACGTGATTAACCCTTCCCTTCCTAAACCTCGGCAAAATTAGCTAAACTTGAGGT